ACTTTATAGTAAGTTTTGAAATCAGGGATTGTGAGTCCTCCAGCTTTGTTCTTTTTCAATGTGTTCGCTATTTGGGGTATGTTGAGATTTCATATAAATTTTAGGTATGGGTTTTCTACAAAAAAAAAAAAAAAAAAAAAAAAAAAAAAACCCTGCTAGGATTTTGATAGGGATTGGTTTGATACCACCAGCATCAGGCAACACCCTCTCCTCAGAGAATCAGGACGCAGCTAACAAATAAGAGTGCTGTAGGTAGTATTGACATCTTAATAATATATATCTTTCAATTCATGAACATAAAATGTACTTCTATTTGTCGTCTTTAATTTCAGCAATGTTTTGGAGTTTTCACTATATAAATCTTTCACCTTTTTGGTTAATTTCTAGATATTTATTATTTCTTATGCTATTGGAAATGGAATTGTTCATGTAATTTCATTTTCAGATTGTTCATTGTTAGTGTACAGAAATGCAACTGATTTTTGTGTTTTGACACTGTATCCTGCTACTTGGCTGAATTTATTAGTTCTAGCAGTTTTTTTGTGGAATCTTCAGAGTTTTCTGTATATAAGATCATATAATATGTGAACAGAGATCATTTTACTTCTTCCTTTCCAATTTCGATGCCTTTTCTTTCTTTTTCGGGCCTAAATTGATATGGCTAGATTTTTCAGTACAATTAGTGATAGCTTTAAAGAATTTTTGCAACTTCATAAATTCCCCATTGCTTGTTGTAAGACTTACTAGTAACTTGGATTTTGTTTTTCAGTCTTTGCAGTTTACCAAGCAATCTTAACTATTGAAGGCAGTGCCTTCTTATAGGTGTACATCTTTGTCAAAACTCTTTTTCCTTTAAAGTTAATTTACATAAATTACACCTAAGCAAAGCTGATTTTTAAAAAAAACAAAAAAAAAAAACTACTCTTGGGCCCTGACCGGTTTGGCTCAGTGGATAGAGCGTCAGCCTGCGGACTGAAGGGTCCCGGGTTTGATTCCAGTCAAGGGCATGTACTTTGGTTGCGGGCACATCCCAAGTGGGAGGTGTGCAGGAGTCAGCTGGTCGATGTTTCTCTCTCTCATCGATGTTTCTAACTCTCTATCCCTCTCCCTTCCTCTCTGTAAAAAATCAATAAAATATATATTTTTTAAAAAACTACTCTTGGGAGAACTGACCTCAACACACACTACATAAAATTATCGTAGATGCTGCACCTCTGAATACGAGCTTACCACAATTACAAAATACTTGAGGAAATAATTTATCATGAGCAAGCGTTGGTTACAACAAATGGCAGGATTATAACCCTAAAAAATTTAGATAATTGAACAATATGACAGAGACTATAATTTAAATTTATTTTAAATTATTATAACATAAAATGAATTAAAAACAAAGATACCATAAAAAACAGGTAGATTTGAAAATGAACCAAAGAATATGTCTAAAAATAAAAATAAGAACTCAAAAAACAAATTAAATCTAGCTGAAGAGTAAATCAGCATGCAAAGATAAAGGTTATAGAAATAAAGAGATGAAAATTATGAAAGAGTAAGAGATGTGGAGGACAGAATAAGGAGGTTTAATGTAAGTTAAATATGAGAGGCACTGCCCTGACCGGTTTGGCTCAGTGGATAGAGCGTCGGCCTGCGGACTCAAGGGTCCCGGGTTCGATTCCGGTCAAGGGCATGTGCTTTGGTTGCGGGCATATCCCCAGTGGGGAGTGTGCGGGAGGCAGCTGATCGATGTTTCTCTCTCATCGATGTTTCTGACTCTCTATCCCTCTCCCTTCCTCTCTGTAAAAAATCAATAAAATATATTTTTAAAAAAAAATATGAGAGGCACTATTTAAAGAGATAATGATGGGGAATTTTTACAAAACTGATGAAAGATATGAAAACTCAGGTTGAAGAATCACTATAAACTTCCAATAGGATAAAATTAAATCCACACCCTGTATTGAAACTACAGAACACAAATGACAAAAAAAAAAAATCTTTTAAATAATCAGAAAGAAAGGCAAGTTACCTACAATGAAGTAATAAATTGTCAGCATAGTTTTCAAGAGTAAAAGCCAGAATTTCAGTGGAATAACATTTTCAAAGTGCTCAGAGAAAATAATTGGAAACCTAATACCCAGCTAAATTATCAATCAAGAATGAAGAGGAAGTAAAGATATATTCCAACAATGAGTGTTTATCACCAACAGACCCTCATCAAAGAAAACACATGAAGGTCATATCTATCTGTCTGACACAAAAGAAATAAATAACTCGCAACAAAGAGTGGTGAAAAAAATAAAATAAATGTAGCCCTAGCCAGTGTGGCTCAGTTGGTTGAGCATCATCCCATGCACCAAAAGGTCACCGGTTTGATTCCCAGTAAGGGCACATGCCCTGGGTTGAAGGCTCGATCTCCAGTAGGGGGTGTGCAGGAGGCAGCCAATTGATGTCTGTTTCATCAATGTTTCTCTCTCTCCCTCTCCCTTTTTCTCTAAAAAAAAAAAAAAAAAAAAAATCAATAAAAACATTTAAAAAATAAAACCAGAAAAGAAGAAAAAAAAGAGTAAATATATACTGGTAAAATGAATCACTGACAGCACAAAACAATAATTATTACTAATTAGAATTGTTCAACATTGGTGTTGACTGCCTTTGGGAACACCTACTTTCATTTATGGAAGTGCTTATTTTTTATATAGATAATACCTTTTAATATTTTTCATGTACAGCAGGCAAGAGGCTGAAATAAATGACCCCTAAGATACCTACTGACCATAGATAGGGTTTTATCAATTAGACACAAAACATTCCCTCAGCAGCTCTGTTTGGCCATCTGAGGCAGGGCTTTGTCCCTATCCTAACAGTTCTAGAACTCCAGTCTTACTTCTTAGGCATTCTTCCCACTCCCATATTCCATAAATAAATAAAAACAAAAGACATTCTAAATAGAAATGTTTCTTATGTGAGCTTTGGGACAATATCTTTTAGTTTGGGGGGAGTGGAGCTTTTGGCTTTAGATTAAGATTCATCATTTGCTTCCACTTGGGCCTCCTAAGTAACGTGCCTCTTCCTCTACAAGAGGCAATAAATACCACGCTGGAACAGAAAAAGAGGGAACGCACTCTCATCCCTGCTGACTGAAAGCTCCTTGATGTGACCTGAACATTCCCTCCAGATTCCCATCTATTCACCACAGTACAGATCTCCACAATTCCCTTACCATCGAAGGTTTCTGCCCACACACACAGTTACACATTTGACAACCCATAACTTTGGCAACACAAGACTAGGCAACAGACACCAGAGAGCAAAGCATGCATTAAAGCAGGTAAGTATTATAACATTGTCAGAAAGCAGTTCCATTCCAGGCAAGAGGAGAGCATAATACAGAGGTCCAAACGCGACTGAATGAAGATGGAAAGGCCAGGCTCCTATCCCCTTTCGGCCCCAAAAAGCTCATTCATTTCAAAGTAAGTAATGACCATGCCAACGTTTCGTATCGCATAGGCATGAGCATACCAGGACAGAAGACACTACCTTAGCTGGGTATTAGGTTTCCAATGATTTTCTCTGAGCACTTTGAAAATGTTATTCCACTGAAATTCTGGCTTTTACTCTTGAAAACTATGCTGACAATTTGTTACTTCATTGTAGGTAACTTGCCTTTCTTTCTGATTATTTAAAAGATTTTTTTTTTTGTCATTTGTGTTCTGTAGTTTCAATACAGGGTGTGGATTTAATTTTATCCTATTGGAAGTTTATAGTGATTCTTCAACCTGAGTTTTCATATCTTTCATCAGTTTTGTAAAAACCCCCCATCATTATCTCTTTAAATAGTGCCTCTCACTACATGTTGACAGAAGGACAACATGCAGACACTCTGAGGACGCGGATGAACACTGCTGCCCCGGGGTGAAGTGAGAGGCGCCCAGAGGGCTCCTTCCCACCCACAGCCTTCACGCGGCCACTGCAGTCACAAATCTGCACTCTCCAACACGCTTCCACCAAACACCGTACCTGCCTTGACCCTTAAAACCGCCCCAGGAAGTAGGAAACGCAGGTAAATTCGCTGTTTACATACATGAGAAGTGAGGCTTAAAATAAAGTGGCTGGTCCAAGACAACCTGCACCCCCACACAAGCCTCTTTCCTCCCCTCCCGTCCTCATTGAGGCCCAGCCCCCCAAACCCCGGCACAGCCCACCACGCACTAGCTAGGTAACCCTGGCCGAGCTAAACCTCAGATTTCCCCATCTGTAATACACTATAAGGTTGTTAGGAATATTTCTTAAATGACCCATCTAAAGGGTGTGGCGCAGTGTCTGGCACGTAGTTGCTCAGAAATGTTCATCCCTACTACGTATTACTAATAACAATAGGCAAAGACTTCCCATTACAAGACCCCCCCTCGTCACAAGCACTTGAGAAACCTGCATTTCCCCCGCCCCCCACCTTCACCCACAAGATCGCCCTCAGGCGTCATTTTACAGACACGCCCCCAAACAGGCCGCCCGGCACCTCCCCCGCCGACAGACACCCCTCCTCACAAACCTTACCCCGGAGAGATTCTCCTCCACCAGACTCCGTTCCGAAAGAGGCCTTCAGCTCGCACCCGCCTCTCCAGCAACCCCTCCAGACCTGGGCATTCCTGGGGGCCCCGAGGCTGAACGCCAGCCGCGGCCCGCGCCGGTTACCGGGCCGCGCGCTCCCGCCGGCCTCCGCTTCCTCCGGATCGAGTTCGACGCGGGCTCGCGCCAGCCCTGTGAGCGCACAGTTAGTTTAAACGCTGGCTCCGCCCCCTCGCACGGAGCTCTGATAGGCTCCGGGGGCTGGTGTGCTCGCCGGGGCACGCTTGAGGACCCGGGAAAAGGAAGTGCGAGGGCCACTGGGAAAAAAGAAGGGGTGTCACCACTACCGGCCCCCGGCCCCGACTTGAGGGCAAAGACTACAAATCCCAACACATTCGCGGCCTTGGAGCCCCGCCCCTAACAAACTACATCTCCCGGTAGGCATTGCGGCAGTGCTTTCGGCGCCAGGCCGAGGTGTGGTGGCTTAGGTAGTTACCATGGAGTTGCGCTGGGTAACCCTGAGGTAGTGAGTGGGACACCGAGGCTGGAGGGGCAGCAGCTGCGGGTGAGTCGGGCGGGAAAATGGGAAAATGGAGAGGGGAGGGGCACTTTCTTTCTCCGGGACCTGAGACACCCCTCTCCCCGCCAAACAAAAACAAAAAAAACTTTCTATCACAGTGAACATGACACAACACCCATATGGGGTAGACGGGTTCCGGGGTGCTTAAGAACCTCCCCATCACGAACACGGGGCTCCCTGGTACCCTGGGAGATATGGACACCCTGACATAAGGTTGGTTTTCCTGATGAACTGAGACCCAGGGTCTTCCAGACGCGGGAGTAACATTAGAGTAAATCACGGGCCCTAATACTGGAGACGTAAGAAACTTTATGGGCTTGCACTGCCCCTTTCCTTCCAAGCAGGAAGACCCCGGGGGAGAGCCTCCGTCTCAGTCTGAGCAGGATCTTTCCGCACACGTAGTGCTCCTGTCCCCAAGTTCCCGCTTCCCCCTACACCTCCTCTATGATGTGTTTCTCAAAGCTCTACAGTTAGAGCTTCATTCCTTTTACAGTCTTCATGGCCGATCTATTGCATTTAGTAACTTACCCAGCGCTTTCATATTCAGTGTCTCTTTTGAGCTTTGTGAATCAAGGATTTTTATCCCCATTTCACAGATTGGAAAACTGAAACCCAAAGAGGCGCAGTGACTTGCCCAAGGCCACACACCAAGTCAGTGACAGCTAGGACTAGACTCCAGTTCACCAACCCCCAGCCAAGTCTCTAACTTGAGCCTACAGCCTCTCTAGTTAAAGGACTTGTTCCAACAAGTGGGAACTGCCCCAGGGAAAAGAAACCTGTCTGGCCTACATTGGATTATTTGCACTTCAGCCTGAATGAGTTTCAGATCCTTCCTTTCAAGTTTAAATGGGAAAGGGAACTAGAGAGATGGACGACAATGGAAATCAAACAGGGACAGGAAACAGTCTGGCTACACAGCACCCATGTCTGATGCTGCCATGATTAGCTGGTTTCTGGCTGGCTTCTAGCTGGCCCTGATTGTCCACTTACTATCTTAAAGTACCTCCAGGCTTGGTCCTAGGTCCACTTCCTACCTCACTCTATATTCCCTTGTTGGGGATCATCATCCACAACTTCATTTACCATCTGTATGTACACAACTGTCTATCTCCAGCCCAGCTCTCATCTCTAAGCTCCAGGTCTGTATAGCCAATTGCCTCTTCAACATCTCCTTCAGGATATGTCAAAGACAACCTAAACTCAACATGTCTGCAACTGGACTCATAATCTCTATGTACTCCAAGCCTCAATTTCTTCCAGTGTTCTCACCCTCTATCCACCGTTACAGAAGCCAAAGAACCAAGATTTAGCCTGAATACCTCTTACATGTCCCATTCATCATAAAGTCTTGTCAACTTCTCATCACACCCTTCCTGCCTACCCTCCCAGACATTTTGCATACTGCAACCAGAGTAATCCTTTAAAAGTAGAAATCTGATATTGTTCACCTTCCCCATCCCACATTCATTTAAAAAGTTATTATGTGGCATCTTACTACTCTTAGCATCAAGCAACATTTCAGCCTGACTCCTGCCCACCTCTCTAGCCTCCAGTCTAACCATAACTTTTTAAAAACTCTTTATTGTTGAAAGTATTACAAATGTCCCCCTCCCATTGACCCCCTCCAGCCTGCTTAACCATACCTTTTATCCCCTCCAGTTATATGGCCTTTTTAAAAATATTTTTTGATTGATTTCAGAGAGGAAGGGAGAGGGAGAGAGAAACATCAATGATGAGAATTATTGATTGGCTGCCTCCTGCACTCCCCACACTGGGGATCAAGCCCACAAGCCAGGCATATGCCCTGACCAGGAATCAAACCGTGACCTCCTGGTTCATAGGTGGACACTCAATCACTGAGCCATGCTGGCTGGGTTATAAGGCCTTTTTAAGGTCTTCAAAATTTCCAAGTAACCTCTCACCATAGAACCTGTTATTTCTGCCTGGAATGTTCATCCCCCCACCCATCTCCCTGTTAATTTGTGCTTATCCTCAATTTCATCTCTCAATCACTTCTTTTAAAATGTCTTCCCTTAAAATAAAAAAATAATTAAAATAAAATAATTGTTAAAGATAAAAATGTCTTCCCTGACTGCTCAGCAGGTCAGATTCCTCAGTTATAGTAACCTCATGTTCCTCTCCTTTATAGTATTGCTCTGTAGCAATTTTTAATGTATATGTTAAGCACCTACTACTTGCCACCAGGTAGGAAAACCATTATGAGAAAAACATGGTTCCTGCCCTGGAGGTCACGGTGGAGTTTACATACAGATAGTAAGCAGATCATCTTAGTGATATGTGTGCTACCATGGCAGCAAGTATGGGGTATTTTGGGAGCTCTGAAGAGAAGTTCCACATCCAAGATTTGGGCATAAGATTAGGCGCCTTAGAACACATGAAAACTGAGCTGGGTCGTGAATTAGCCAGGCAAAAGGAGGAAGAAACTGTATTCCAAACAGAACTAAAAGTAATAGGGCAAAAGGGATGGAGCAGGGGAGACCATACATAGGAATCATCAAGGGAATCAATCAATTTTACCGGGAAAGAGTGTTCACCAAAGAGGATTCCCTAGAGCTGAGTATTGAAACAGGAGAATATTCACTAAGTGGGCAACTGTTTCTTAGAACTGGATGCAGACCATTTTGCCACAATCAATAGAGACCCAGGTCTTTTTGTGCTCATAACAGAGTTCTGTTATTTGTATCTTGGCTTCATGTCTTCTGGTCAGGCACAGGGCAGCAGACACTCAACAAATGTTTGCAGAATTGAATTGAATACCTTACTGTGAATGAGGTGTGGACTGAAACAGCTGAACCTCAAAGCCAATTGTTAAAATAAGCAGCTTAGTATCAACACTCCTAAAACAGAGATCCTGTATTTGGCAGTTTCTCATTCATTCATCTCACAGATTATTTCCTGAGTACCTATTGTAATAAACCAGGTTCTGTAATACTAGCTCACAGCCTGAACTACTGTTTAAATGGAGAAGGTTAATAACCCTTTCCAACTGGCAAATTTATCCGAATACTTAGGGCTCCATTTTTAATACTAACCCAGAAATATGCATCAGGGGCCAGTACTACGCTAAATCAGAAGTTCTTAGGAACTGCACAGAGGTAATCGGATGGTCAAGGAGACTAATGATAAAAATCTGCCCTTAAATATTTTAAGCTAAAATTCATCTTCAGTAGTGCAGAACTCTGGGGTCCCAACCCAGATCTTACTTTGAGAAAGGTGTCCAGTCTTCTTTTTTTTAAATTTTTTTTTCAATTTATTGATTTTTTTACAGAGAGGAAGGGAGAGGGATAGAGAGCGAGAAACATCAATGAGAGAGAAACATCAATCAGCTGCCTCCTGCACGCCTCCCACTGGGGATGTGCCCGCAACCAAGGCACATGCCCTAGACTGGAATTGAACCCGGGACCCTTGAGTCTGCAGGCCGATGCTCTATCCACTGAGCCAAACCGGTTCTGGCAAAAGTGTCCAGTCTTGCTCAAAGGCATCAAACCTGTTGTAGATTCCCAAGTGGAATGGACTGCTGTCTAGATGAGAACACAAGTAGGGCTCCTCTATTTCAACAAAAGAACAATGCGTTCTTTGTTGTCTCACTGTAGGTTTGATATCTAAAAGTCCAGATCTCCCCTAATCAATACCCCATGCCTACCTGGCTAGTTCCACATTAGACAGAGTTGAGTTGTAAGTGACTCAAGCCTGTACTTCCCCAAAGCTCAGTTGAAACTGCTGCTTTTTGAGAGAAAGCCATTCCCTTTTCATTTCTCTAAACCTGAGATTTTGAACTGGTGTGCTGCAAAAATTTTAAAAACATGCAATATCTGACTATTTAGTCAAGGACACTGACCTCTTTTCCCTTAGATTGTCAAGTAAAAAAATGACAGTAGCCAACACAATAGCCATCTGATGTGAATGAATCAAAACTATGTTTTGTTTTGTTGTCAGATTGGAAAAAAATATATTTTTTGGTGTGCCGCAGAACTAGTAATTAGTTTATGTGTGCCATAAGATGAAAAAGGTTGAAAATTGCTGCTCTAAACTTGTTAAACTCTATCTATGCATATGTTAATTCATACAAAAAGTTTTACTTAACTGTATGTATTAAGCTTAAACTGAATTACAAACTATCAACTCCATAGTTTTTGTTTTGTCTTTATAAAATATATTTTTATTTCAGAGAGGAAGGGAGAGAGAAAGAGAAACATCAATGATGAGAGAAAATCACTGATTGGTTGCCTCCTGCATGCCTCCCACTGGGGATTGAGTCTACAATCCAGGCATGTGCAGTGCCCGGGAATTAAACCATGGCCTCTGGGTTCAGAGGTGGACACTCAACCACTGAGCCACACCAGCCAGGCTCACTCCATAGTTTTTAAAAGAAATTCCATATTAAGAACATTTGTGAATTTAATTGTTTCTGCACACAAACTATTTGTTTCTTTGAATCAAATGATGAGAACCACATAACCTAATGTTTCCCTTTTGGCTTTGTTTGCCAGGAATTTCAGAGCTAAATATAGGCCTACTTTCCTAATTCTTTGGTACATCTCTGTCTTCCTTTAATCTGGTTTCTAATCTTCCTCTTCCGTGTTTATATTTTCTACATCCACACTGTCCAGTATGGTAGCCTTTAGTCACATGTGGCTATTGAATACTCGACAGTTTGTCCAAATTGGGATGTGCTATAAAGTGTAAAATACTTCAATTTTTAATATTAATTATATATTGAATGATATTTTGCATATATTGGGTTAAATACAATATATCATTAAATTTAACTTTCCCTGTTTCTTTTGACTTTCTTTTTATTATGGCTATTAGAAAAGTTTATATTACCTATGTGAAAAAATTATATATGTGGCTTGCATTTGTGAAATTCATTATATTTCTGTGGGACAGTTCTTTTTTTTAAAAAATATTTTTGATTGATTTTTTTAGAGAGAGATAGGAAAGGAGAGGGAGAGAGAGAGAAAGAAACATCCATGAAAGAGAAACATCAATCAGCTGCCTTGTGCACACCCGTACTGGGGATTGAGTTCATAACCCGGGAATGTGCCCTGGTTGGGAATCAAACCGGTGACCTTTTGGTGCATGGGACAATGCTCAATCCACTGAGCCACCTGGACATTTCTTTGGCCAGGCTGGACATTTCTTTTCTACAAATCATCCTGTTTTGAATGTGCTATTTGTAAACTATCTAAAATCCCTTTGGAAAGCAGGTGAAAAAGTAAATGCAAAGGAGGTGATGGCATTGGATAGTGTGAGAAAGGGGAGGTTCACTGGGAAATATACTTGTCCTTGTCAGTCCATTTGTCTTATTTGTGTCACATACAAAACCCTTCTGTATTTTCAGCTGTTCTGATCAGGTGAGTAGTGTTCTTATGACTCTGCTCAGTCTGTTGAAAAGTTCTCAGCTTTACTTGAGCTAGCAAATTGGGAAGGATCTGATAAGACAATTTACACCACACTTGTAAACTACTGATAACATTGTGTTCACCCCTCTCAAGGGGTATTTCCATTTTAACAGGGAACAATCCCTGAACCCAAAGGAATGAATCCCTAATGGTGGCGTTTCAGGCATCAGTGACAGGTGAGTGACAGTGAGATAGATCCTGGTGTTATGTGTGTGTTTTACATACATATGACTACATTCCGGATGTGGCTGAAAGTAGGGTCTTTGGACGAAAAGGCAATGGGGCTGACAGAGAAAGTAGCAAATTCTGAGCTGGGTCAGACTGCAAAAGGCTATCAGACACCATGCCCTAAGGGGTTTGTTAAGCAATAGAATAACCCAGTTGATGTCACTAGAGGGTAGGTATCAAGACCGTCTCCATGGTAACTACTATGGCTTCAGAGTAGGATTCAGGAGACTATGATTACAGTCCACAACTGACTCACTGGCTTAATTTTGGGCAAGTGCTTTCACTCTGGGTCTCAGTTTCTTCGTCTGGAAAGTAGAAATGGGTGTTATAACAATCAATGAGCTCTAAGGGATGTGAGGTGTTCTGAGAATTAGGAAGTGCCCTACAACTGCAAAGAATCGTATTAGTATCTTAAAATATAAATGCAGCCAGGAAAGCCTGGAGTATAGAAGGTAGAACGCAGGGGTGGAGGGTAATGGGGAAACCTGAGGGCCTATGCCCCTTGTACCTGGAACACCAGCCCTTCTCTGTCCTCCCAGGCTGAACCCGGACTTCCAGGGCCCATGCTTACACCGGACAAATTATGGCCTGAGCTATGAGCACACAGGACTACATGAACACTTCGGTACAAGAGCCCCCTCTTGACTACTCCTTCCGAAACATCCAGGTGATTCAAGGTCAGCCCACAGAGAACAGCACTCCACTCACCATGGCAGCAGCTGGGTGTGATCCCTAGGGAGAAATCAGTCTTCTTCTTAAAAGCCTGAAGAGATTCTTCCCATATACTTGCAGATTTTGTTGTTGTCCTTTCTGGGAGGAGTAGAAGAGAGGGAGGTGGGAGTGGAAGTGTTTGGCCTTTTAAAAAATTAGCAGAACCTCTGAAAGGAACCAGGGGGCTCTCTCAGGGTAATTGATCATCTTCAAAAGACAGGCTACAACAAGAAAGTCAGGTGAAGAAAGCTGGAAAGCCAGTGTGTCAGCCAATAGTTTTATTCTGTTTTTACCTGGAGAGGAAGAAACTAATGGAAGGAAAACAGCCTGCAGCAGAGTCCTATCTCCTCAGTCAGGACACAAGCCTATTCTGATCACTGGTAAAACATGGGGGGTCTTGTTATTAACAAACTGGTATGTTTCCAGTATAATACTTACTGACATTTTATATTCATTCCAGTCATATCCAAGTTTATTCCATCATCACCCACACTTATTGCAGGTTCCAGCACTGCCCATGCTAGTTCCCATTCAATGTCTTTGTAAATGGGCAGCTAGTACCTTTCAGAAGGGGACACAGCAGGGCTCTCAAGTAATATATTTTCAAGGGAATATGCTTCTTCCTAGAGAAGTTCTGCTGTCCCTTGCTTTTGTTATCTGGTCTCATAAATGCTCCAGTATATCTGCCCTCACAGAACACAGGTTGGCATCAATATATCCTAGACCCATTATCTGGCGTTGGTCCTCTTTCTTAGGCAACTGGTGGCCACTTTTAAGTTCAGGAAATGCAAACAGTTATCCAGGGTACTGAATACTACTTGGGTTTGGGCTTAGCATACTGCAGGGGTTGGCATCAGCCACAATAGTAACTCATATTTGTTCTTCAGTGATCACACACCCACCTATCGTGATCTTCATTTTTTATGCATGGTTATCACTTCTGCTTGATGTAGTCCATGTTTCACAAGGGTTTTAGCTACAGTGATGGCTACATGCAATATAGCCATAGTGACAGAGAAGGAAGGGAAGTGTGGCTCCCACGTACTCTGGGAATTCCCAGCTCTGAGCAGGGAGATATAGTTTACCCTTTATGGAGTCCTCAGAATGAGGGTAGAGATAAGCTACTACAGCCAAGGATAACTCCACAGCACAAAACATAATTAGTACAGACCCCCTGTTCTTCATTCAACATTTAAATATTTGTTAAGCACCTATTTTATTAAGATCATATATCTGTATGTATGTATGTATATGTGTGTATACAAATATGCCAGGCATAGTGCTCCTTGATGAATATTAGAAAGGGAAAGAGAGAGGCACATCTAAGCCCCAAAAGGCCAGTCCCCTCAGGTTTCCCAGAACTATGGAACACTTACTTAAAATTGGGGTTAGAGGACAGGGTAGAGTTTAGGGGTACCTGGTATGCTATTTGGTAATTAATCAATAGATAGATCATAGAATCTGAAATGGCAGTGACTTTAGAAGGCATCCAATCTGTACTACCTCCAACCCACAGTCCTATAACTACTGCTCACCTAGTGTTAAGGGAGTCCCTTAGCACATGCACCTACCCATCCCTTCCATTATGGGATGAGAAATGACACAAGGAAGTTCTTCATATCAAACTAACTCCTGACTTCTGGGGACACATGGAAAAGTTGCATGGCAACTCTTCAGAGAGGTGAAGACAGAATCACTTACTCCCCAGATTTTCCTGTAGCTAGACAACCTCCAGTTCTCTGAGTGTTGATATTTGTGGTCCAGTTTCCAGACCTGCCTTTGCCTAATCTGAAAGGCCGATCCTCAGGTGATAGAGTACCCTGATGGAGACTGAGGGGACCAGTAACTGTTGCGGTCTAGACACCTTGCTTTACCCTTGATAACAGCAGCCCCAGGCAGCCTCAAATTTTAGGCAATGCCATTCCACCAGTGGCTCCTCTGAGCTTGGGGTCAGCCCAGACTTGATGGCATTCCCTAAGCTGCTGCCTCATCACACTGGATGCATCATTGGATGCTAGTCCACATGTGGGCTTTTTATTTCTTTAAATGTTTTTATTGATTTCAGAGAGGGGAGAGGGAGATAGAAACACCAGTGATGAGAATCTTTGATCAGCTGCCTTCTGCAAGTCCCCTACTGGGGATTGAGCCCACAACTGGGCATGTGCCTTGACCAGGATTTGAACTGGCAGTCTCCTGGTTCATAGGTCAATGCTCAACCCCTGAGCCACGCCATCCAGGCTATGTGGGCTTTTTAAAAATATGTTTTTATTGATTTTAGAGAGAGAGGGAGAGGGATAGAGATAGAAACATTGATGAGAAACATCAATCAGCTGCCTCCTGCACGCTCCCTATTGAGGATTGAGCCTGCAACAGGGACATGTGCCCTGACTGGGTTTGAACTAGTGACCTCTTGGTTTATGGGTCAAAGCTCAACCACTGAGCCACGCTGGCTAGGCCATATGTAGGCTTATTTTGACATCTTTGTAATTTCATTCCAGGGCTTGCAGTCAGGAGATGTGAGGTTGGGAGGCAGGATTAGGAGTTTCTTCACAAACTGGGGTGCTCCAGTACATTTCTGCCACCTTCCTCCAATCTCACAATCCACCTGGGAGTTCTGCTCACTCTAGGATTAAGACAGAGAGCCATCTGGTGGATGCTGCCTGACATGCAGCTGAGGAGAGGAAGTTAATGTTGGCTGGGGGTGGAAGAGAGGAAGTGTGCCCAAAAAGAGCTGAGGGGAGGATGAAGACAAACTTGCCCAATTCAACAAATACTAAATATTCCCTTCCCCAGAAGCAGTTTTATTTTATTTATTTTTTAATCCTCACCCGAGGGTATTTTTCCACTGATTTTTAGAGAAAGTGGAAGAGAGAGGGAAAGAGAGAGAAATATTGATGTGAGAGAACCACATCCATTGGTTGCCTCCTGTAGGAGCCCTAGTCAGGGCCCAGGCTGGAGAGGAGCCTGCAACCAAGGTATGTGCCTTGACTGGAATCAAACCTGGGACCCTTTGGCCCTCATGCCGATGCTCTATCCACTGAGCCAACCGGCTAGGGCCAGAGGCAGTTTTAGACAAGTAACCAAAGGTATAGGGGCCATAGGAAAACTATGGTCACCTCAGTCAGAGCTGGTGTCTGTAAGCTTGGGCAAAGCACATCCTCTCTCTGGACCTCATTTGTCAAAAAACAAAGCCGAAACCGGTTTGGCTCAGTGGATGGAGCGTCGGCCTGCGGACTGAAGGGTCCCAGGTTCGATTCGGGTCAGGGGCATGTGCCTTGGTTGCGGGCACATCCCCAGTGGGGGGTGTGCAGGAGGCAGCTGATCGATGTTTCTCTCTCATCGATGTTTCTAGCTCTCTATCTCTCTCTCTTCCTCTCTGTAAAAAATCAATAAAGAATATATTTAAAAAAAAAAAAAAAAAAAAAAAAAACAAAACAGAAAGGGAGGCGGGGGACAGTTACAGGGGTGTCCATACAGATGGGTTCTAACATCACTCTATTCTCCTCACCTAAACTTTCTGAAGGTATTGTTTACACTACCTGCTTATATTTCCTTACCTCTTGAACTCACTCCAATCTAGCTTCTGTCCCTAGGCCCTTGCCATTTCATTGAAACAGCCCTCATCAAAGTCACCAGGGACTTCAAATTTTGTTACCAAAATTACTTTTCAATCCTCATCTCCCTAAAACTCACTCCTATAAATATGGATTCCCTGAGCATCTTATTAAACTAACCTCTCATGGCTTGCCCTGTCCTTTCCTGATTATTCGGTACCTTTTTATTTTTAATAGTGTTTTAAAAAATGTTTTCATTGATTTTTAGAGAGGCTTCAAGGAGAGGGAGAGAGAGAAACATTGATGAGAATCATCAATCGGCTGCCTCTTACATGCCCCCCACTGGGGATTGAGCCCACAACCCAGGCATGTGCCCTGACCAGGAATTGAACCAGCAACCTCTTGGTGCACAGGACAACACTGAATCCACTGAGTCACGTGGGCCGGGCTCAGTAACTTCTTAAATGGACTCCCCTTCCTCCTTGTGCCTCCTCTCTACTTTTACTATCCCTGAGGACTCGTCCATTTCTCTAACTTGCTCACTCTCTATGCTAATTATTCTCAAGTCTTTGTCTCTGACCTTCATATCCAACTGCCTACTTGGCTTCTCCACCTTTTTATACTTAAGGAACCTCAGACACACCAAGGTCAAGTCTAAACTCATTACCTGCCCAACCATGTTTCTCCTTTTCTTAATTCCGTATCAGTTACATCAACCATCAAGTCACTCTGACTGACCTTCATCTCTTGCTTGGATGATTGAAAGAGCCAAATTGGTCTAGTCCCACCCACTCCCTACAATCCAGACTCTGTACTAAAGCTTCAGAGTGATCTTTCTTATATGAAAGATTTATCTCTTTGCTCCATAACCTCCAGTAGCTTCCCGTCACCTACAGTAAAGTCCAAATTTTCAGCCTGGCATTAGAGGTTCCTTGCCTCCTTTTTCCTCCTTGCCCCTGTGCAGCACATACATGTGCACCCATGCTGTTCCATACCTCCGTGCCTTTGCCCATGTTCTTCTCACCCTTTCCACCCTTCTCCTAATCCACTGAGATCCAGCTCAGGTTTCACCTTCCCTGGGAAACTTTCACGAGCTCCAGACTAAATTAGGAGCCCCCTCTCCTTCAACAACTTAAATAGCATTTACCACAATACATTGCCAGTTGGTTTCCATCTTGCCCATTTGAGCTTCTCTAAGACATAAACATCTGCTTCATCCCTGCCCTACTACTCACACAAGCATGGCGCAGACTGTCTCTCATATTGTTCACCATTGTATATCCAGTAGCTGGCACATAGTAGTTGCTTCATATTAGGGGGAGAGAGCAAATCAGGGTGTGTTACACTCAAGTGAATTCTGTAGGCTCTACCAGTGGATAATTTTGGATTTTGTACCAACAACTCTGGTTTTTAGTTTCCTCATTATAAAATAGAGGAGTGGTTTTATCCCTCTCCCCCCAGTACATATACACAGGGTGTACACAGAGGACCCAATAATAAAATAGATATGAGGAGCATGTGACCCAAACCGAGTTTGGGATAGGAAGTCTTTGGCCCTTAGTTCAAGCTTACTGGTTTCTGGGGCCTGAGAGATGGGGGTCTTGAGCTGACAATGAGTAGTTGCACTAGTCAGTCTATGGCCCTCCAGTTAGCTCGAGCTGCTTATTCGCTCAGCTCTCATCCCCCAGAACCAGAAAGGCAAAGATGATATATGCAGACTTCACTTTGTTCCCACAGATCTGATGAGCGAGGAGCCAAGGAGAGGGCAGCGACCACTAAAGCACTCGAAGTCAGGGAAGTCACTGACCCAGTCCCTGTGGCTGAACAACAATGTCCTCAATGAGCTGAAAGGCTTCAACCAAGTAATTTCACAGCTGCTGCAGCATCCAGAGAACCTGGCCTGGATTGACCTGTCTTTCAACGACCTGACTTCCATTGACCCTGTGAGTTCCCAGTCCTGAGAGTCCAGTCAGGTTGGGCCGGAAGCTGCCCTGTCCAGCCCCCAGCCTTTCCACCTCCCACATTTCATCAAGGAAGTTGTGAGGCATCATGGTACTGTGTCTAAAGCACACAGCTGTTGGCTCAGATGTAGGTTCAAATCCTAGATTTGCCCCTTATGATTTTGGATAACCTTCCTAACCTCTCCAAAACCTCAGCTTCCCTTTCTGAAAAAATGGGGATAATATACCAACATCATAAGTATTTTGTGAGAATTAAGTAAGAATGTATGAAAACCAACTGGCACATAGAAAGCTGAAATAAAATAGAAGCTCTTGTTATTGGGCACCCACTGTGCCTTGTGCAAAGTTCTTCTGTGGAAGAGGTAGGTAGTAAAAGTACAGCACTTTTTCCATGCACTGACTCAAGTTTTAAGGAATAAATAAAACTGGTCGTCTTGTCTAGGATCCATTGGGGGGGAAGGAGCTAGAGCACAACTTAGAAACTGTTCCCCAGGTGTAGTGATCTCAATTTCACTATTTAAAAAGCTTCTCTTCTGTACCTAGCACAATGCTCTGTATCCCTGTCCCTTGTTTTGAGACTCAGATCACCAAAGGTCTTCAGTGAAAGGGCAACTAAGGCTCAGGCAGAAGCAGGCGGGTCCAGTCACCTGGCACGTCAGTGACAGTGCTAGGACCCAGGCCCATACTTCCTGCCTTTAAGATCACAGCTCTATGTGATGGGATGCCCTATACCTCTTCAAGGTGAATGAAAGTAGGTTAGTCATTCAACACGGCTGGGGATGAGGGGTGGTGGAGTGGAGAGCAAGTTGTTCCCCAAACTCTACTCGCCCTCAAGTCAGTCCTGAGCACAGCTCTAGAGACCTGTCTAGCCTGCTTTCGGTTTCTTCCCCAACAGGTCCTGACCACTTTGTTCAACCTGAGTGTCCTCTACCTCCATGGCAACAGCATCCAGCGTCTCGGAGAGGTGAATAAGCTGGCCATCCTCCCTCGGCTCCGGAGCCTCACACTCCACGGGAACCCCATGGAGGAAGAGAAGGGGTATAGGTAAGTGCCCTGCCCTGGAGCTAGGCTTCCCCAAGGGAAAGGAGGGGAGACAAGGAAAAGAAGTAGAGACCTTTAGGCATTTCCTGCTGTCAGGATAAACTCAGTCTCCCCCAAACTATACTCAGGTCCCTCCGTTCCTGCAGTCAGGGGAGACAGCAGCTGGTGGGGGGGGGGGGAATGGGGTGCTGGTGGGGGGGCTGGCCCCCAGCCCGAGTCTTCCCCACAGGCAGTATGTGCTGTGCACCTTGCCTCGTATCACCACATTCGACTTCAGTGGGGTCACCAAAGCAGACCGCACAGCAGCTGAAGTGTGGAAACGAATGAACATCAAGCCCAAGAAAGTCCGGATCAAGCAGGATGCACTCTGAGGTTCCCAGGACTGCAGCCACCCTGAAGGCCTGAGGACAGCCAGTGTTGGTTTGACAATACAATAAAGGATTTGAGCTGTTCAGCAGATTAGAAGTCACTTGTGCTGTGTAAAAATGCCCCCCCACTCAGGCAGTTGCCACTGGTTCTGGTCTTGCTTCACTGAAAGGTAGGCAGGGAGGGAAAGGCCTGTTGGCCTGAGACACAGGAGACCTGGGTTCATTGCATGGCCTTGGGGAACTGATCTCAACTCTGGGTCCTTTTTTCACTCTTCAGATCAGATATCCTGCGATTGAGTTGCTTCACAGAGCACCAGGGTTCTGTGGAGATGCCTCAGAGGCCTCGGTGAGAAAAAGTCAAGAAGATAGGCCGTGAATGCTGAATCCCCATTTCCATCCAACCAGAGTAGTTACTCTCATGCTGTTCATGTTGGGATTGTGCTTGAGACGTCATTTGATTTAAAAAAAGAACTTCTGCCCTAGCCGGTTTTCTCAATGATTAGAGTGTTGGCCCACGAACTAAAGGATCATGGGTTTGATTCCCGGTTAAGGACACGTACTTCAGTTGCAGGTTCCCCAGCCCTGGTAGGGGCGCATGCGGGAAGCAACCAATTGATGTGTCTCTCACCTCAATGTTTCTCATTCTCTCCCCCAACCTCCCACCCACTCTCTCTGGAAATCAATGGAAAAAATGTCCTTGGGGGAGGATTAAAAAAGAAGAAAGAATCTCCTGCTTGAAAACTGGTTTGCTGACTCCAAGTCAGGCACTCCTGATCTGTCTGCACCATCACCACCAATCCCTTCCCAGGCTTTTCAGTAATTTCACTGAGTCTGCGGCAGGGTCCTCAGCAATGACAGCTGCCTGTGTTCCTATCACTGGAGAAATGACAAGCAATCTTATCCAATATGAGGTTAGCCAAGGCCGAGTCTCAGATAAGACCTGGGAACCTTGAACTCATATCTTAGACTCCTCCTAATGCCCCTAAAAGATGTCCCCCTCCCCATCATCCATTTTCACTGCTCATAGACTTAAGTAGCTAGAAGTAAGCAGTAGGGTGCTGGGCAGGACAGAGGGGCTGAAATCAGCACACAGATGAATACATTTCCTTTATCAAGGGAGATAACACGCCCCCCTCCCCCCCAAAAAAACACCAAAACCCCAAACATGTAAAAACCCAGGGTGCTAGAAATACAAACTCAATTCATTCAAATTCAATCTCGTCCAGACACTGGTCACAAACCCTAGTGAGGTGCCTGTGAGCACCAAGTCAGGGAGAGGGGCAAAGAGTGAGGCCAAGAGAAAGAGTGGGAAAGGGGCCTTCATAGGCCCCCTAGTGATCACCCTCACAGTGTTACCTCCACCCCTTCCCAGTGACAGTGAAGACCTACCAGGCCCTGTCCTTTTGACCTCCACCCCATCCCTGGCCAGGGCTTCGAAGGCCAGTCCCAAATGGTTCTATCCTCTCTTGCTCCATCCTCACTTGTCCAGGCTTGTAGCCTCGCTCTTCTCCTCCTCCTCCACATTCTTCTCTGTGATTAGTAGCAGGTCAGGGTACTGTATAAGCCATAGTGAGGCTGGGGCCAGGGGAGGCGGGTGAAGAGAGGAGAAGAAGAGCTGTCCAAGGACCACTGTCTTCATGGGATCCCAAACTGTACAACCAGCTCCTCTCTTGCATCCACACGAATCTGAGAAAGTGCACTGTAGGCATAAGCAGCTATTCTGGAGACCTGTGATAGAGGGACCAGGGAGGAGAGGAACAGAGAGAGAAAGGTGAAAAGGGAGATCCAGAAACTGGGGAGGGGGATCAGATGGCCAGAGAGGAGGGAATGATGGGGGATGGGAAGCCAAAGAGAAAGGTGGGAGCGAGCAGGGCCCACAGGCTACCAGGTTAACTCCAGTTCCCCACCTCCTATAAGGCAGAGAGGGTGAACCCTCTGCCACAACTTGGGCAGTGTGAGTGGGTAGGCAGGAGTGGGGCAAGGGTGGCTCACCTGCTGCAGGTCGGAGAAGGGGATGGGTTCGCTGGCCAGCACTTGGTGGGGCTGACTGGTGAGAGATGGCAGTGGCGGCAGCTTCTTCCAATGGGTCAGGCTGCTGCTCAGCACAGCCAAGCGGGTGCTGGCCGATAGGGAGGGGTGGGATGGGCAATCAGTTCACAATCTGCCCTGCCCTGCCAAGCTCAGCCCGGGGGAGCCTCCCTCAGACCAGAGAAGCAGGTGACAAGGCCTCAGCTGACCACAAATTCACTCCAGGCCCACCTCCCTTCGCCCTCTGCATCCTTGAGTGTCACAGGACAAATAGTGCTGACATGAAGGCACCCAAGAGGTTTGTGGTCAGTTTCTTGGGCTGTACCCAAACGAAGAGGCTGGACTGGGGCCCAGGCTGCAAAGCTGGATCAGGGATGGAGGGGAAGGGAGGAATCCAAGCTGGCCAGGTGCTCACCTGTACTGCCTTGCCCGGTCCATGTACTCATGCTGCTCCATGCCCTGGGAGTCTGCAGCAGACACGTCAATGATGTTGCTTTGGGGAGAAGAGAAATAGAGAGGACATGACAGGTACATCCAAGAGGGACGAAAAGGATTCCCTGCCAGGTGCTAACTCCAGGACTATCTGACACCAATGCCCCCACTGCCTACTGGAGCAGGGCTGGGCCCAGCTCTCTCTATCCCAGCCTTTAACACAGATAGAGGAGCTCTGCCCCAGGCCTGGTTCTGTGATGCTCACCTGGCTGTCTTGGCAAGAATGGAGGAGAGCAGGGCCTGCTCATCTGTGCGAGCGGAAGGCAGGCTGTGGTAATTTGGCTCGGCTCCATTGAGGGCTTTGGTGGGGGGGCTGCTAGGGTCTAGCAGCAGCTTCCGCTCCTCTCGGTCCTAGGAGAGATCATCAGGGAGAAATCAGCCCCAGAGCCCTTAGTCCAACTTGCCTTTCCTGGGTTCTCCTCTCAGCCCAACTCTGACGTTTAAGTGTTTAAGCACCAAAAATGTTTTTTTTTTAGGAATATCCCAGTGCCCCACTATATGTCAGATAAGACCCAGTTCCTGCTTGCCCTTGGAAGCTCAGCTCGGTGGTCCAGGATAAAGTAAAGTAGACTCAAACAGTCACAGATGCCCTGAAAAGATGGGCAGAGGCACAGCCCTGGAGTTTTAGAAAATAGTCCAGCAACTTATGGCGACAGAATACTGGAGGCTGGAAGCCAGAGAGGTAGAAAACAGTGGGGCCCACAGGGGAAATTGATGCAAGCCAGGAGCCCAATGACCCTCCTGATTCCCCAAACCAGGCCCTCCCTAGCAAGGCTGTCTGTTCCCAGGATACAGAGGCCCTGTGAGGCCAGACATGGCCCTAAGCTCAAAGAGAAAACACACCCAAGCTCTCAATGCCCATTCCTCTATTATTTCAGGGCAGGAGCTCCAGCCTCAACCTCTGGGTCACACAGGCTAAGTGTGCTTCCTTCTTGAGGGCAGGTCCCTTATTCTCTCAGGTGCTCACCCTCTTCTGTTCTCTTTATATGCGACTCCCAGAACCAAACTTGATGCACCTGGGGATGCTGACCTGAACCGAACAGTAGAGCTGTTCCCTCCCTTGCTAAGGCGCCACACCTCTATTAGTATGGCTTCATTAACGGTCAGCAGCCCTGTCACTACTAGCCTACACTGATGATCACAACCCCCAGAACTGACCTGGGGCAAAGTCTCCCTGGTCATGTATAATTCTGTATGTCTCTTTGTGCCAGAAACTACCTCATCTAGCATTGCCAGGCATTATGGGTAGATATTTTATGTTCTTATTCTTTGTTAATTTTCCTGTAGTCTCTTTTTCTTTGTGATGATTAACGACATATTTTCCAATTGAAAGTGATACAAGTATGTTTTTCACCTTTTGAGAAGCAACCAATATGTCGATGCTTTAGGCTGTTAATATTCATTTGAATACTTTTGCTTTTTAGAGCACGAACATTCAAATTTTTTAGAAAATTGGCTGTGTGCACTGAGAAAAGAGGCACACAAATGTTTATAGCCCAGTTTAGTTCCTTGTTCTAATCTTTCTGGATACAACCCTGCCTTGAGCCCATCAGCTGCAAATCCCTGCTGGCTTTGTGTCAGCTGCAAAATGGATAAGCAGACCTGCTGGGGATCTATCCAAGCCACAGAGAGTGAGGTGCTCAGGACAAAATCAAGGACAAGGGGCCTATCCTGGCTAACGCTGACTCACCAACTGGTAGTGCCAGACACTAGACCCCGGAGTGCTCCACTCCAGGCCTATCTCAGTTCCTACCACTGACTTCCCCACTGCAGGCTCCCAACTTCTCTGCCCAGCTCTCCTTGCCACTTCCTCCTGCCCTGCCTGCCCCACCCTAAGCAGGCCCAGTCTTGTCACATGACTCTTCCTGCGCAATCCTAGGTTGCCCAAGTGTTCACAGTTCCTAGCAGCAAGAGACAGGAGCTGTGAGCTTCTGCCCCATTACCTCCCAACTCCTAGACACTTCCATTCCTAAAGGACAGGCTAAGTACTGAAGTGCTAGAAAGACAAAGTACTTGCCAAAGATTGAACTATCTCTCAGGAAAGCTGGTTCCATCATGAAGCCTGCGTTTGTTTCCTGTGTCCATCCTTCCTCCAGCCCCACTTCAGACAGACCTTCTTGCAGGACAGGGTAGTTTCTCCCCATGGGTTCCTGAGACCTAGCCTCCCAGAAGCCATACTACCCATTAGAGTGGACACATAACATTGCCTCACCCACAAAGGGCAAAGGGAGCACAGGGGAGGTTTTTCCCACCGAATTTTGTTCCTGAGTCAGTGTCAACCCAGGAGTCAGTTTCACTGCCTACCCTAGCATAGACACATATGTGGTCTGCCCATGACCAGCCATCGAGAAGAGACGGCTTGACCCAATGGATAGAGCACATGGCTTGGCATCAAAATACCTTGGCTATGGCACTTCTCAGCTTTGTAACCTTTGCTAAGTCACTTAGCCTCTCTGAACTTTTTCCTTTAATTTTTGTTTATTGATTTTAGAGGAGAGGGACTTTTATTTGATCCACTTATTTATGCATTCATTGGTTGTTTCTTGTATGTGCCCTGACCAGGGATCAAACCCACAACCTTGGTGTATTGGGATGACCTTCTAACCAACTGAGCTACCTGCCAGGGCAGGCTTTTAATAGACATAACTGGTACCTTATGACAAATGTCTGGCCAAAGTCAAGTGAGGTAACTGTAAAAGGGCTTTGAAAACTGTAATATGTTGTGTATTTCTTTTTATTATTATAATAACGGGGCAGTGATGAGAGGGGAAGAGGAGCCAGCCCCAGAGCTCAAAGAGGGATTTTTTTGATAGTGAATGATTATAGCTTATAGAGCAGGTAATTAGACTTTTGCCATATGAGGCCTCAAATCACCTAGCACTGATCAAACACTGTCTTTGGTGGTTAGAAACAGAAATGAGAGCCAATCAAGGGCAAGGTGGAGATTGAGGAGAGCAACAAGCCCAACTCTTCCAGCTAGAAGCTGGAATATCCTTTCTCATAAGGCAGGCATTAACCCTTCTTGACTCATTGCCAGAAAGAGTCCATATTATGTTTTAAGAGACAACTTCCCATAAGCCACAGCTTTCCCTAGTAGTCAGGGATACTGTCCCTTTAACAGGCTGGGGTGAAGTGAAAGGTACTAGCTGAGGCATGCCTAACATAAGACAAAGGAAATGTGATTATGTGTTCACTGTGTTTAGCCATCCATGCCTCTCATACAAATGACATTTTCCCAAGTCTAAATCCTTAACCCAAAAGAGGTTCATGTGAGTCACTGGGGAAAGACCTTCTCCCAAATACCAGTGACATAATCCATTTCTGTCACCATCGACCCAACCAGACAGTCGGCTAATTGCTGAAACCTTTCTACTGTCTTTGTGTCTAGTATGTGTTGAAATGTGGAACCCAGGCACAGAGGTAATCAAAAAGGTGCGGGGCCAACAGCTTAAGACTTCATCCTTGGAAGGGTTCCCCCCCCCTCAAAGGAGGTCTGGTGGGAAGGACCAGAATTAGTGTGGTGTGAGCCCAGCCAGTGGCTCAGTGGTTGAGCACAGACCCATGCACTAAGGTCGCTGGTTTGATTCCCGGTCAGGGCTCATGTCCGAGTTGCAGGCTTGATCCCCAGTAGGGAGCGTGCAGGAAGCAGCCAATCAATGTTTCTCTCTCTCTCTAAAAAAATCAATAAAAGCATATATTTTTTTTAAGTTGGTGTGAAAATGCACGAAGAGGGAGAATTTAAAACTGTACAGGTTTCCCCAAGCTAATTCTTCTTGCAAAGGGATGTGATCTACAGCCAAATTCCCAGGGCAAGAACCCCTCTAGCTAGAGGAACCCTCAGGCCCAGGTAGGGACTGCACTGGAACTGTCAAAACTGAGTTCCCCATCCCATACCACCACCCGCCCCCCGCCGGCCCAATCCAGCCAAGCTAAACCCGATGTTACTTCCCAAATAATTTCCCACACATCCTGATGTCCTCGTTGTGCCTATTAAACCCTTCACTAACTCAAATGCCACCACCTTCCAGAGGCCTCCTCTGACCCCAGACCATCAGTGAGCTGCCTTCTCCAACCCCAGGGACTGAGAGAATACACAGATTCCTGATTTATCTCAGGACAAACTAACTCAGCCTCAGCTTCCCCACCTCTACAACGGATTCACAAAGCCCGCTAATGCGAGCACAGGGAGGGGGGAAGGGAGTGCTTCCCAGGGACCTAGGCTAAGGATCCTTGAAGCTGTAAAGGTCTGAAAGTAGGGGAGGTGAAAGGGTGGGAGAGCAGGTGAGATAGGCGGCTGCCTGCACACCCCAACGCGGTGACTATACAGAGAACTGGGGCTTTAACAGAAGAGGCCAGCCCGGCGGCTCCTCTGTAATATGTCCCCTCCGGGCCTCCGTACTCAGTGACCCTCGCCGTCCAGCTCCCCTCTCTCCAGCAGGTTTGTTTCTGAGCCCCATGCCCCAGGGTTTCAGCCCTCATTCCCGAGCCCCGCCCGCCGCGGCCGCACCTGGTCCGAGTCCTCGTTCTCGCTGCTGTAGCAGCACCCCATGGCCGGGGTCGGGCCGGGCGCTCGGGCCGCAAGGAGGAGGGACGGCGTCCGTAAGGAGCCCTTCCGGTCACATGACCTGTGGCTGCAATGAGCAAGCAACCACCCGCCTCCAGGACTATCCCTTCCCAGAGCCGCTTCGCTACCGCTGCGTCCCTGAAACCCCGGCTTCCGGTCCCGCCCCCACCGCGTGACCATTTCCAACCAATGGGAAGGCGTACCCTGCGTGACAAGCCGCGAGACACGTGATGGGAGGAAAGGGGGGGCTCATCACATGACTTCAGCCTCTTCTCAGTCTCTGAGCTCGTTCTCCCCTGCAAGCAATAGGGGGTCTCAGCGGTCGTGTGGCCTCCAGGCTACCTTTGTGGGCCAGTGAGCGAGCTCATACCAAGTGTTATCATGATGTGGTCTCCTAAATGCCACACGTAGGCCCCAGTTGCTCAGCGGCAAGTTGGGGACACAGCGGGTGTGACGACCAACGTAGTTCTCAGCCTGGATTGAGGATCTGACACTTAATGGAAGAAGGAACTGTACACCTTCACAAGAGGAAGCGGAATAGAGCTTAATCCTAGTAGTGGAGATAGAGGCCACCTTACTGATCTCTTTGCCCTTAGGCACTTATCTTCAATCCTGTCATTTTATGGCAGCCCTACTATCTTAACACACAAAGCTCACCATCATTGCTTTTTTAGAACCATCCCATGTCTTCCCTAGGACCCTGAAAACAGGTCCAAGTCTGTCATTCAAGATCTTGCAGATTCTAACGAACACCTGCTTCCCACTCCAGATCCAGAGGGTGGTGGTGCAGGGGTTTGCCTCACCAGGCATAGCACTTTCCTGACTGACCTCCTGGACTTTGCACGTGTATCCAGGTACACTGTCTCCCCAGTAGGTCTGCCTACTGTGTTCAAGATTCAACAATACCCTCCTAATTCCCTTCTCTAACTTCATTCTCTGGACATCTCCTGTGCTTAATCCCTATTCTGCATTAATTCATTCGTGTATTGAATCACACATTTACTGAATATCTGAAATATATCACATACTGTTGTATCTGAATATGTAGCAGCTCACAAAAGAGCCAAGAGTCCTTGTATTCATGGAGCATCCATTCTAATGATCGCATTATATTGTATTCACTGTCCCCAGTTTCTTCTACCAAATATGGAGTTCCAAAAAAAACAACAAAACAAAACACCCGCAAAAAACATGGAGTTCTTGGAGAACAGGAACAAGATCTGACTCTTTTCTGTGACCCACTCCCTAGCACTTACTTAGAGAAAACTCAAATTTGGAATTAATGAATAAATTACAACCTCCCTATCACGTTGGCTCACATCATATCCCATGTGCTGATCCAAGGGATTGTAGGAGAGGCTACCAAGACCTATAGCTCTTTTGCCCCTCAAATCAAGACCGTGGAGTTCTTATAAGTTCTGAGGGCTCCTGAAGGGTAGGAGGCAGTTCAGCTTGCCCCTGGGGTAACTTGAACTGCAGGTTTCAGGTGACACCAGCAGCCTCAGCATCAATAATTGAGAGCAAGTCCAGCCTGCCTCAGGATTCTACCCCTACCCTCCAAGGACTGCCCCCTCCTGTCCTATGCTCCGATCTTCCTCAAGCAGGAGCCTCCAGCCCAGGTAAGCAGGGCCCTTGAGTGTGGGTTCCCAAGCACACTGGTTCAAATTTGCCATCCCTCACCTATTCACACCCATTGCCTCAATGGGGCATGGAAGAAAACAGGAAACATCCCTCATAGCTGGCTGGGGAGAAGAGGGCTGAGTGAGGAGAAAGTGTGTGGCTGGGGAGAAGAGGGCTGAGTGAGGAGAAAGTGTGTGCTCTGTGTATGCACATGTGAAGGGAATTCTGAGGGAGAGAAGAGGGGAGTGCAGGGGAAAGGAGATAGGACTGAAAGCACAGAAGGAAAATCCTGGGGTGGGAAGGACATCTTATCCTAACACCCTGTGGAGTAAGTGTTTTGATTGCCTTTTACTGAGGCAAAGCAATGACAGTGAAGAGGTTTCTGATGTAAAGCTGTGCTTTTTTGCTACACAGTAATGGGTCAGAGGAGACCAAGCAGGCAGGGGTAGGGGCGGGAGGATATGTCAGAAGGGAACTGGTGAAAGGGGTCCTGAAGAATGGTGACAACAGAGATGAAGAGAAATGGGTAGAGGGAGCAAGGTGGAGGTGGGACCAGGAGCCAGAAGTGGGGAGAGGTATTTTGGGGTTGGGTTCTGAATTTAGCATGGAGTCCTTGAAAGTACAGGGCTTGGGATCAGACCAACTCAGATTCAAATCCTAGTCCTGCTGTGTGACTCTGGACAAAAGACAGCCTTTATGAGCCACAGTTTGTAAAATGTAGGGATAATTATTTCTGCTAAGGATTGCACTAATGACAGACAAATGTCAGGTGTGGGTTTCCCTCACTGTCTCCCTCCACCCCAGGACCCCTACCAGGACCAGGTAGGGACCATGTCTCCTGCCATTGCACTAGCCTTCCTGCCACTGGTGGTGACACTGCTGGTGCGGTACCGGCACCATTTCCGACTTCTGGTGCATACGGTCTTGCTGCGGAGCCTCCGAGACTACCTGTCAGGGCTGCGGATTGAGGAACGGGCCTTCAGCTACGTGCTCACCCACGCCCTGCCGGGGGACCCTAGTCAAATCCTCACCACCCTGGACCACTGGAGCAGTCACTGCGAGTACCTGAGCCACATGGGGCCTGTCAAAGGTCAGTGTTCCCTGCATTCTGCTCCAGGAAGCAGCACCCCAAGATGGTGAAGGAAGAGCTGGGATCTGCCACTGCCTTAATGGGTGAATTAGGCAGGTTCTTGATTCTCTATGGGTCTCTTTTTTCTCCTCTGGAAATGAGGGGGCTGGGCAAAGTTAATTCATGCAGCAAAAATTTATTGCCACCTCTTTTGTACCAGGTGTGTGCTGGGTGCTGGGGGAGAAGAAAGTAGAGGCCACATGGGTGAATCAGCCACAGATGCTGGCCTCAAGGGGGCTTAATACAGAGGGGAATAACCATCTCCGCACATAACCCATAACTTTGTAATGTCTTTCTCTCCCACTACGGAGGCCCCCACATCCCATTCAGGGCAGCTCCTGCCTGGATTTGTGTGAGTCCCAAATCCCAGCACAAGTCTTTCAGTCTTATTTAAGAAAGTGGTCCAATTCCAAGGTTAGAAAGATATCCAATGAACAAGTAAGGGGAAATTAAACTGGAAGTTCTAGCAAAGATCCTTCAAGAGACTGAAAGATGGTCTCTCAGAAGCCTTGTGATTGTTTCTGCCTGGACTTTCCTGGAGGAAGCAACAGTTTAACAGCCAAGAAGGATTGCTTTCGAGTTGGTCAGGCAGGTGAGGATAGGGTTGGGGAAGGGCAAAGCCAGCCACATATACAAATGTGACAGGAAGGAGTGAGCCAGAATGGCTGACCCTGGGCACAGTTGTTTCGGATGGCTGTGGTACAGGCTGCAGGTAGGCATAACTGAGAGCTGAAACTGGAAAGGTAAGATAGGATCAGTTCCAAGAAGGTCCTGAATGTCAGGCTGAGGATCCCAAGTTCAATTCCCAAGGCTTTAGGATCAAGGAACCAGGGAGTGATAGTGTCATATTTATTTTTTTAGAAAGCTTTCTAGTGGCTGGTGTGAAGACTGGTAAGCCTGGAGGAGAAGGGGGACCACTGGGGCAGCTGAAACTAGTCTGAGAGAGATAAGACTCCAGCTGGTTGGGAGCTGCAAGTGGGCATTTGAGATCTCTTTCTATGGCCTGCAATCCATCTCCCATGTCTGCTGCAATAGCTATCTCTTTCCTTAGGTCAGATCCTGATACGAATGGTGGAAGAGAAGGCCCCTGCTTGTGTGCTGGAGCTGGGTACCTACTGCGGATACTCCACACTGCTTATTGCCCGTGCCCTGCCCCCTGGGAGTCGCCTTCTCACTGTAGAGCGGGACCCACGCACAGCAGTGGTGGCTGAAAAACTCATCCGCTTGGCTGGCTTCGACGAGCGCACGGTCAGCCCCCCTCTCCCCAACTCTGGTCTCCACCCTTTGCCTTGTTCTGGCCAGGCCTCCCCTGTGGAGGAATCCCACCTATGGGAAAGAAGCAGCTCCACTTAGGGAACTGTAATCCTGGAAGCTGTGTGAACTCTTGTTCCAAGTCATTTGCACATATTTACTGCTGAGTGACAAGGAAGCAGTTAAAAGGAAAGTCTCTGGAGTCCAGCAAATCTGGGTCCAAACCTCAGTTTGATTCTTATTAGGTATGAGACACTGGGCAAAGCACTTACCCTCTGAATCTCAGCTTCTTCACTGGCTGAATTGAAATCACAATTCTAGCCCTAGCCGGTTTGGCTCAGTGGATAGAGCATTGGCCCACAGACCGAAGGGTCCCAGGCTCGATTCCCAGTCCTGGCTGGGGCACATGCGGGAGGCAACCAATCAATGTGTCTCTCTCACATCAATGTTTCTCTCTCTGTCTCTCCCCCTCCTTTCCATTCTCTCTAAAATATCAATGGAAAAATTACCTTGAGTGAGGATTAACAAAACAAAAACAAAGAAAAGAAAAACAAATCACACTACTGATCCTGACTTCTTGGGTTCTGAGGTCAGAGGAAATGTAAGAACACTGGTGGGGATTTAGACCAGGGCCTGGTATAAAGTAAGCCAGATCCTGATGGGGTCTGGTGGGGGATAACCCTGGTTTGTCCCACCCTCACCTCCAGCTCCTCCCACCCCCACAGGTGGAGCTCATCGTGGGTAGCTCAGAGGAGGTGATCCCGCGCCTACGAACCCAGTACCAGCTGAGTCGGGCCGATTTGGTACTCCTGGCACACCGGCCCCGATGTTACCTGCGGGACCTGCAGCTTCTGGAGGCTCATGCTCTGCTGCCAGCTGGTGCCACTGTGTTGGCTGACCATGTGCTCTTCCCTGGTGCACCCCGCTTCCTGCAGTACGCCAAGAGCTGTGGCCGCTATCGCTGCCGAATCCATCATACTGGCCTCCCAGACTTTCCTGCCATTAAGGACGGCATAGCCCAGCTCACCTACGCAGGACCTGGCTGAGGTCTAGGGGTACTTACTGCTGCCCCACCTCATCCCCACCCAAGCAAGGACTTCAGAACATCCCTTCCCCTCCCTGCTTGTGGCCTGACACATGCTGGGCTCGGGGAGACTCTCCTCCAACCTCTGCCTCACTCACCTGAGGCATCAAGTTCTGTCAGACTGCTTGGTCCCACTGATCCTCCTTCTTCCAGAAAAAGCCATGAACTGACCGGCAAAGGCCTGAGCTCCCACCCCAGCTCTGTCACTGATTTGCTGGGTGGCTCCAGGGGAGTCCCTGCCCTGCTGAGACAATCTGCTCTCTTAACACCAACAAAACTGGCTGGGAGAGCTCTAGAGGCTTCCCAGCTCTAGACCTCAGAAAGCCTGCCCTCCCCAGCCCATGCCATTGTGGACATGATGAAAAGAAACAGTAAACTCTGAGTTATAAGTCCTGCAGGAACGGCTGGTGCAATCTGGGCCAGAGGAGAAGGCAGTGAAGCCTGGGCCCTGGCCTTCCCTAGCCCTGGCCCACATGGCCAGGTAGGTTTGCCCGAAGTTCCTTGAATGCCCTCTCCCAAAAGTTCAAGAAAAGGTGCTGGATCCCTCTGCGCCCCACCAAAAAATAGGGAATAGACATGGGGGGAGGGAGGAATCAGTCCTGTGTCTTTATTAAAGAGAGTTAGAAAGAGACTACACCTCAAAGGGTGAGGTACTGGCCAGAAAGGTGGGGTGGACTCAGGTCCTGGGGATTCAAGGGCAGGTTGATGGCCTGGGAGGGGCCAAGGAGACCAGGTCCTGGCAGCAGTTGAGGAGGTGCCTGAGGGTGAACTTTCAGGCACTGGGGTGATC